GTGCTGCCTTCTCTCTCTCAGTTCTCATGTTCACCTAACCCGACATGCCCCCTGCAGTTTTTGCACTGCCCTCTCTGCCTTCATAAAACAAGTGCAGAGGATCAAGACAGTTTTAGATGGCCTGAGATGTAGTTCATCACCTCCCCACTGCAGACTTGTTTTATCTGTGTCTGTTCTTTCCAAAATTACTTGCCGCTGATCATGGCTGGAGACAGATCTCTAGGCTGGCACTACTGGTCTGGCTCACAAAGGTATGTCTAGCAATCAACTGAGCATTGGTGGGGTTGTGCTGGGGTGTACCTATGTCAGCTGGAAGCCAGAAGAGAATGGCCTGGAGCTGGCACTGGGAAGTTGTAATTGATGTTAGACCCTTTGCTGGGGCTGAGCTTCAAGTGACAGTCTTGACCTTTTCTGCATCCCCTGCCCTGAGGAATAATAAATTCTCTTGTAGCTATATTGTGACCATTTTCTGCAGTTAGTGCTGGTGTTCTGTCTATGCAGAGTAGGAATCTGGAGGAGTGAACCTGCCAGGCTGTAAAGTGGGCTCACTATGGCTTTGTCCATCCCAGATCTCATGGGGTGCTAGGTAGGTTTTCCTGGCTCAGGTTTGCCTCTGAGAACTGTGTGTGTCTGAGCCAGGTATGGAGCAGGGTTGGAGGCTGTGCTTAGTTCATGCCTGCTACTCACAAGGCTAATAGTGCTTGCTGTGCATGTATGCCAGCATAGGTGTTGAGCAAGATCAGCTCTGCATGACCTAAAGGCACGGGAGTGCTTGGTTCATGATGTGTACTCAGGGCATGGGAAACTACCTGGTCCTGAACATCAGCTAACTCAAGCTAAGCATTGGTGTTGCTTGGTTATAACCCCCATGGGCTCCTTTTCCTGCTGTAAGAGGGGAGCAGAGTGGCTCATGGTGTTACAGAGACGTGCAGGATTTATCTGTCAGATGCACCCTGCAGGTTCATTGGTTCTGTCTGTGATCTGTCCCAGGACAGGACTTTATTCCTCCTGAGAAGGAGCCATCCAAAGGAGCTTTGTGGCCAAGCAGGGTGTTGACTCACTGAAAGCTTGGCAGGTGATGGGTGATGCTATCTCCTGGGGCACTTCACAGCCAGTGCTGCCAAGCAGCTCCAGCTGGGGCCCATGATGGGGTTGTCACACTGGTGTCTCCAGGGGCATTTGTTACACTAACACACTCAGCCTTTCTTTGCTGCAAGGTCAATGCTAGTCCTTTCAAGCTCTGTTCCCTCTGCTACATTGTCAGTAGGACTGTTGGAGCAATATCGTCTGAGAGATGGAGTGGCGCATTGGTGAAACAAAAAGGGGGGTACCCTTTCCCAAAGTGAGGAATCAAGAGGGAATACAGGTCACCTTGAAAGTATGCCACACTGGAATGCCTGCCCTTGGAGGTAGGCTGGAAGTATCACATCATCACAGTCTTTCTGAAGGAGGAGTACAAGGAAAAAACCATGCTGTGACACAAGAAGGAGAAGCTGCTCAGACTTAAAGAGCAGCCAGAAAAGTTCATCGAAGGCACTGCTGCCAAGTGCACAGATGTGTGGAGCTGTAGGGCTTCTCAGGTGAAACCTTTCATGACAATAAAGCAAAGTTCCCAAACAGCTTAAAAGCCCCACAGAAAGGGAGCTAAGAACACTTAAGACCTTCAGTTGATTCCATAACATTTTGAAGTTAGCTTTTCCACTGCCTTGAGACTATTTAGGAACAAATCTGACCAAAATAGAGGTTCACATGAAGTTATGGTGATTCCTGCGCTCTCTCTGATGGAACTGTGTGTGCCATAGCAGGATGTTCCCATGATGACCAACAGATGATGTGGACAGATTCTTCTCTGACGCATCTGTCTGGCACATGCATACCTTTGGGCTGCTCTGATCAGTCAGCCCTGACCATGGCCAAACCCAGTTCTTTTTATGGAGGCAATAGTAGTGGTGGCGAAGCTTCTGAAGTGGTACCTGTTAAACAGCCTTAGATGGGCTGTGTAAATTTGTGTTGAATGCAGTGGTATGGAGGAAGAGTTGGAGATACAGAAAAGTAAAACAAAACAAAACAAACTTGAAAAGAATGAGGATAAAAGATGTGAGAGGAGGAAAACGGTTAAACGATATCATGTGACAAGGCAAGCAGGTCATTGCACAGCAGAAATTTAATGCCACTGCCTGTGCTCTCAGCAACCCCTGGGTTGCACTGGATCTTCAGACACTTGAGAGAGACTTTGTTCTCTGTGCCAAGTTGTCTCTGAGATGAGGTGATCCATGTGATTAAGCTGAGAATACAAGGACTGTAAGTATAGCAAAAAAACTATAGAGGTTATGGTTTTCACAGAATCACAGAATGCTAGGAGTTGGAAGGGACCTCGAAAGATCACAGAATCACAGAATGCTAGGGATTGGAAGGGACCTCAAAAGATCATCTAGTCCAATCCCCAAGATCATCCAGTCCAACCCCTGCCAGAGCAGGATCACTCAGACCAGGTCACACAGGAACGCGTCCAGGCGGGTTTTGAATGTCTCCAGAGAAGGAGACTCCACAACCTCTCTGGGCAGCCTGGGCCAGTGCTCTGTCACCCTCACAGTAAAAAAAGTTTCCTTAAGTTCACGTGGAACCAGTGTTTTCCCTATTACCTAGTTTTGAAACCAAGATGGCAGTTGTTCCTCTTGTTAGTGATCCTGATTTGTGCCATGGAGCAGACAATGAAAGCAGTGATAATACTGTAAACTCGAGGAAAGTTACACTCAGCTGTTGACCCTCGGAAGGAAAAGAAACCCAGGAAATGGTACTGGATTAGATAACTGCTGTGGCTGTACCTCTGCTGCTGCTATTAACAGACACTACATAAGCCCTGTTCCTGTTTCAGATGCTAGAATAGGAAAAAAACCCAACCCAAACCAAGAAATGTAACTGCAGTCACCTAATCATCTTACTGCATCGACTAGATCCTGCAGCATGGCTCTGGCTAAGTGAACAGCTAAGAAAGCAAATACAGCCAAGGCACCTTTATTTTTCTTGTTAAACTTTAACTTGAAAAAAATAGATGTATCTGGCATTCTTTCCCTTGAGATTGCTGGTGTTCCACTAAGCAGATGAAGGGGAGTGATGTGCATGCCATGGCAGTAGATAGACCACGCTGTGTCTATGAGGTTTGCAGTATCAGATAGCAGAAAACTCACAGCAGTATCATAGCTTGCTAAAATCCTTTGTACAGCTCTTTGAAACGTGCCTTTCACATCCCTCTAGCTGGTTTGATCTCTGAAATAAAAGGGAGACTGTACTCCAGAATAAACCAACCTCTGTTCAGTGGTGCAATTTTCAAAACCAAATGCAGAGAAATTAGAGTAAGACCTGAAGGTTAGTTGAATCTCTTATTTCAAGATGGAGTAAGGTGACTCCGGTTACTCCCCTCCCCTGGAAACAGGAGTTTGGAGTGATGGCCATGACTCAGAAGTTAATTTCCTTGTGACTGTGATGTTGTAAATGTGGAGAGTAGAAAATGTACGAGACTCACTTGTTCTCTCTGATGAAGGCAGGAGAGGCCAAACAGAAGCAAGCTGCTCTCCACCATCTCATGGAAAAAGCATTCCTTGTTTAACAAGTCTATCAAGCAAATCTTGCTGCAGTGAAGCAGCACTGGCAAACCTACTCAGCCCTGCCAGATTTGGTGGCCTCTTTCCTGAGGCCTTGTGAGACTCTGTGGTTCCCTGTCCTCATGTCCTTGGAAGCCTTGGACATGACTGGTCCTCTCTGCAGTGCTTTTCACCAGCACTGAACAACTTAACCTGTCTCTGCCTGCTTCATCCTCCTGACACTTTGGTGCTTTGCTGCGAAGGTCAGCCAGGCAGAACAGTTCTTAGGTGTATGGGAAGGAATAATTTATCCTTCAAGCTTTAATCCTTGACAAATACGTTCTTTGGGGGGATTTTGCAGGGAAATAAAGGTTAGTGGCAAGTCTCCAAGCAGGCACTTATCAGAGTAGTGAAGGAGAAGTTGATTAAACAGAATCACATGGTAGAAAATAAGCTGAGTACACGATGCCTTTAATCTTATGCTCACTTAAGGCATGAGGCTTATAACCACCAATAGCTTTTCAGTCCCCTAGCCAGGAAACAGGCAAATGTTGCACAGACAACGTGATTGAAGAGCAAGGATGTGCCATTCCCATAGCAGCAACCAACACCAACAACTCCTTTTTGCTCTTTGGCCTAGAATAAGAGAGCATTGGCCTGGAGGATTGCTGGACTATTTAGAATAAAGCCCTAGCTTTGGGGAAGTGTGGACAGGACTGCCTGGAAGTACCAGGTGGGTAAACGAAGTTTGCAGCATCAACCTACGGTGCTCACGTATGTGGAGGAGCAGCAAAGAACTGGCAAGTCACTGCTTGGTTGAACTGTAAGAGAACATGGGGTACAACAGGACTGCTGTGTCCCCTTAGGAGAGGGTGAGTTAGGACCCTGCGTTGGGTCACCATGTGAGAGGTCAACGTTTACTTCTCCATTGCCTCACACATCTGTGTCATTTGCCAGTTTCCACTCCTGGGATCATCTGCTGTAGCTGTAGGCTGTAGTTATAGCTCTGAGGAGGGGGAGGAACCTCTTTCATGTTGCTGTAGTTCCCAGTGTTTCTTTGATGGTGACCATGTAAGACTGCAGCTAAATATTCTCTATGTACAGTGAGCCTGCAAGGATGTGCTGAAAGATCACCTTTAGTATATCAACCATAGGCATGTTAACTCAGATGGGTTTTTATCTATCTCCATCTCGTGCTGTCCTCCAGCAGAGTGCCTAGAACATGCTTGTGGTCATGTTACTTTAAAGCTGAGTGTGTAGGCACATGCTTTGTATGATAGCAGTGTCACTGACCTGACAAATGCAGTCATCTGAGCTGAAACTGTGATGCTGTTGCTGAGTGCCATGAGGAATGGAGCACAAGAACAGGGGAAGGAGGGAGGAGGGCTCAGTGTTTCCTGCTTACAGGCCAGGTCAGAATAACGTGTTTTAGAGAGACTTCTGCTTTCCTCCTGCTCCAAGCATCTCTGGGCAGTGAGGGAAGCAGGCTGCGCCTCAGCACAGCCAGTCCCCCTTCACAGGTCATGACTTGGGCAGCAGTTGGCCTGGGTGATCGGTGAAATTAATCATAGAATTGTTAAGGCTGGAAAAGACCTCTAAGATCTTCAAGTCCAACTGTCAACCCAACACCACCGTGCCCACTAAACCATGTCCTGAAGTGCCACATCTACGCATTTTTTGAACACCTCCAGGGATGGTGACTCCACCACCTCCCTGGGCAGCCTGTTCCAATGCTTGACCACCCTTTCAGTAGAGAAGTTTTTCCCAGTATCCAATCTAAACCTCCCCTGGCACAACTTGTAGCCATTTCCTCTAGTCCTGTCGCTAGTTATTTGAGAGAATAACCAACACTCACCTCCTACACTACAACACTACACCCACTCCAACACTACAACCTCCTTTCAGGAGGTTCTTCTCCAAACTAAACAATCCCAGTTCCCTCAGCTGCTCCTCATAATTCTTGTGCTCCAGACTCTTCACCAGCTTCATTGCCCTTCTCTGGGAATGCTCCAGTGCCTCAATGTCCTTCTTGTGGTGAGGGGTCCAAAACCAAACACAGTAATTGGGTTACAGCCTCACCAGTGCCGCGTTCAGGGGCACGATCACTTCCCTGCTCCTGCTGTCCACACTATTTCTGATGCAGGCCAGGATGCTGTTGGCTTCCTTGGCCACCTGGGCACACTGCTGGCTCATGTTCAGTCACTGTCAACCACAGCACTCCCAGGTCCTTTTCTGCCTGTAGCTTAGCTATCTGACATGCGGTGCACAGCCCTCAGGGTAGTGACATGGGAGAGAATGGGCAAGATGAGAAGAGTTCAGGAGGAAAGATATGGTGCTCTCAAGGATGGAGTGACAGGGAAGAAAGATGCTCCTGTCCAAAATGGCTGTTACAAGATCTCCACAGCTGCCTTGCAGGCATGAGGCAAAACAGAGCTCAGCGATTTCTGAGCCTCTGCCTCATGCAGCAAGGGCACTGAATACCCTTGCACATCCACCGATGAGCTACATCCACATGCAGCTTTGCTCTGAGCTCTCCTGAGAGTATCAAAGGGACTTCCCATGTCCGAAGTGTTTTCTTAAAGCAAAAGGCCATTTTATAGAGAAAGAAAATAAAAATATATAAATAATCTATAATAATATAAAAATAAATTATTTGGAAACAATATTGCTCTCTTCCTTCACTTAATCCAGTAATTTTTTGGTGCCTGCCTACTTGTCAGCAAACTCTGCACAGCTTCCTCTGGAAAGTCTCTGTCTCCTGCCGTCTCTCACAGCTGGCTCTGGCTTTTTCTCGGTCTTCTCTGGGTGCTCCTCTCTGCAAACCTGCCTCTGGCTACCTGTCTCTGTCCGTCACTCTTTGCCTGCTCCACTCTGCCTGCAGAAGGTTTCTCCCAGCTGCTC